CGCCTGTGAGGTATAAGTGCACTCATCCGGTACGCCGGTGAGGTATAAGTGGACCTGCAGGGATTAAGTGGACCTATTTGAGACATCGATAGGGATTAAGTTGACCCATCAGGACGCTGATGGGGTATATAGGTGACCTACTTGGGACGCCAGTAGGGTATTTTGTGAAATCCTTTGAATTATGCACTACCGTGAAAGTGTTATGTGCATTTCAATTATTCGGATTATACTTAATTATGCATTTATTGAAAGTGAAACTGTTGATGCATTTCTGTTAATAGATCTTTTTTTTGAAAATATTGATATCTTTCAACCATGATTATTTTTAGGATTATGATGATCACTTACTGAGTAGTCAAACTCATCAAACTATGGTAAACATTTTTTTAGGATAACTGCGGATTCATTTTGAGTGCTAGTCAAGATCAACCTTGGAAGATACTGTTGTTGTGCTAGCTTTCTTTATTTACTTTGTAAGACCTCGCCACTTTAAATTATTCCTATTAATAGATGTATATATGTTTTGTCTGTCACATCTTAGGGATAACAGTATTGTAAATTCTTAGGGTGTGACACCTAAGCTATTAGATTTCACATCGGGTGGTTGTAAGTAATTGTATCTTCAATGTACCAAAGGTAAATAGTCTCATTGTATACAATTCCAATTGTAATATCGACTTTATGACTTGTTTTTGCAGTTGTGAACATGACTTGATAGGTGAATGCGGTAAAATAATTTTTGAAGACTAAGTATGTATTTTAAAATTAAATTGGATGATTTGAGAAAAACCTTGGTTTTGAAAAAACCCCATAGTCTTGTTAGGTCCACTAACTCTTTATGGGAAATCATTTAAAACCTTCATACTGTTATTTAACTATTGCTTATGAATGTATATATACCATGTCAATATTTTTTTATTAAAGAGAAAAACATTCATATTGAAGGTATTTATAAACTTTGGAGAAAATTTTCATTTATTCATGCGCTGGTTTTTAAATACACATGTGCATTGACTTATGTTTCTAGTTATTTAAAATCCTCAATTACCTAAGACCTTGAACTATAGGGAATGTTGTAGCAATGTTATCTTGCTAGGCTTCTTTGAAGCATGTTATGTTGATTAGATAACTTGGTTTGTATGGATCTATTACTAAGAAGACTAGTGTGGTTGAACCTTTGTGGTTCAGGAAGGCTTTGCATATTGTAAAACCAACAGGCATTGAATTACTTATTGCATTTTGCTATAATACGTCATGATATAGGCATAATAGATCTGGGAATGTATATGTTGTATGTACAATAAGTAAGTGGAAGGTACTACAGTCCCACGATTCTTTTTACTTGCTTGCATATTCATATATACATGTATTTTATCATGAAGGATCCAGATAAAACTAAATATTCCAGTGGGAGCACCTGTTAGTATTTAACATGCTAGCTAGAACAGCAGACTATAATGTTGTTCACCCATGGAATCCGGATATATGGCGTTGGTGGTATGGCTACAAAAATGAGCATTTTGTTTAAATAACTCCTTTGAGCTCATGAAGATACGACCCCATGCGATGAATGCATGCGATAATCTTTTGCGATAATAGGTTCATGATTCGCGATGCGACGTAAAGAATGGACTACGACCACGTTCAGGATGAGATTCGAGCAGCAAAGAGAAAGAGGCGCTGCCTCTATAAATCATTTGTGAAAAGATTGATGGCAAAAACCATGATTAATGTATTGAGAGAGAATAAGTGAAAAATGCATAAGAGAGATATTATAATTGGGAGAAATCGAGATTAGCTATATACCTATAAAGGTAATGGTAGCTCACCGTCTTGCAAAGAGGCTTGCACCTAATGATTTTGTGAGACATGAGAGAGAGAGAGATGGGGATGAGAAAAAGTAATGAAGAGAGAATATAAAGTATTCAAAGGTAAGTAGGAGATGTTGGGTGTGTGTATCCATTAAATGCCTGATGAGTGCTTGTAAAATGAAAATATATAATGGAACATGAACTTAGTGGGAGTGTAGTCCCATGTGGATCATACTAAACAAATATTGTTTGTTGATATTGGATTATGCTTAACGTGCTAGGTCGATCTGATTGGGAAAAACTTATATTACCCAGGCATAGAGAAACAAGCCGATGATGGTTATATGGGTTATCCCTTGATGAAGTTGGAATATGCCTAAACAGGTGAGCTGAGGGACTGTCTGACCCTTGTGTGTGATGAAGGCCTTTAAAGACAGACCAAAGCCTCATCATTTGTACCATCACATGGCATGCACATCGATAGCCATTTTTGAGAAAACATACCACATTTTAGGGTGAAAGCGTGTGTAAGTGCGAGAGATACCCCCTATGCATCATTGAGCTATGGATTGCATCAGGTTAGGATGACCTTGGTTTCATTTTCAAGGGAGGACCTGAAATTTATATACTGGGACTGCGACCCCTTGCCCATTGGTTAGACTTTGGTAGCCCACATATCAAATTGGTGGGGCTCATTATGTGCCACAATGAGTTGCACGCCCCACCTATGGAGACTTTCTATTTTGTTAAGATCAAGCTCTAAAAGCTTGAGAGTTAAATTTGTGTTGTTTTATAAGTTTTTAAAACTTGAGAAAATTTTGAATGATATTTTGGAATATGTGATAATGTTTATATATAAAATAAAAAATAATAATATTATGATATATTTGTTTTTTATTTGAATTAATTGATGATAAAATAGTTTAAGATGTGGGGTATAATGATTCTAGCACATTTCATACGATGTTGATGGCCCATCTATGGAATGGAGAGCTCATATCTCTCACCCTACTAGTCACCCAAGATCAATGGTGCATATTCAATATTACATGAGTGGCAAGTCAAGGAAAACTCTAAGAAACCCTAACCTTGTTCAAACACTATATGGGTTGATCCCTACCCAAATCTCTACCCCTCATAACTTTCTCTCCTAAAAACTCCCAAAGGAGGCATATCCCACTCTAAGTTATATCTCTCTCTTAAAAAATTTCTCTCTCTCTCTCTCTCTCTCTCTCTCTCGGGCCAATGGGGGCACACCTCACTCTCTCATCTCATGGTTCCTCTCTCATGGTGTCTCTCATCTTCTCATCTCACATTGGGGTTAACGTTCATAAAGTTGTGGTAGAAAGAGAAGTATCTCCCTCAAATTAGGTTATCAAGTGGGTTCACCTAAGGGTTTGAGATTTGTGATCAAGGGGTTTATCTTCTATTGTTGTGGTTTGCTCAAACTTGCTGTTTCGGTTGAGATTGAAGGTTGACCGTTAGATACCATGGTATTGGAAGGTGGTAACTCAGTGTGGGGTGTAAGAATCCTGGTTAAGCTAATCTTCGGCATTCTCTTTTGTTTCTTGCATATTTATTTATTATGTATTTTATTCCCAAACATATGTTGTATCTTTTCTTTGTTATTAAAAGAAAGGTTTTTTAATGCCTTCTCAAGTTCTTGAGATCCAATTGTATTATTTTATTTGAAGTTATTATATTGAAAAAAAACCACTTGTCAGTGATTAGGCCGTGAAAAAAAAAAAAGAATTGAAAAAATTTTTATTATATACTTTGGCTAGATCACACAAGTCCTTCTTTCATAGAAGTCTTTTTTTTTTGTCTATATCTCTGCATCTCAAGGTCGAGATGATCAATTTGAAAGCTTTTTAATATCACAATAACCTTGGAAAAATTAAAGATATCTCGTGTACCCTATTTTCTAGGCATTGCCCCTAACACATTTTAAACCACAACACCCAATAGTATTTATTCATGTACCCACCTCCCTAGTGAAAATATTAAACCCCCTCCCCTCCCCTCCCCTCCCCCTCCCCCTTTTTTTGGGGCCCATCTTTTTATCCCATCTTATCAAGCTCCCATTGTGCTGGTCCAATACAAAATATGTCAGACCGGTTTTATTTTCAACCTGAAGGTAGTCTGGCAAAAAATGTGTGGGACTGACTTTTAGGCCCTAAAGCGTGTCGATCTATTACATTTTGTACCAAACTAACTTCTCGGGCCCAAAGTGTGCGGTCCGACATATTTCTACTAAGCCCCAAAATATATGGATCTGGCCTCAAGAGAGAGTACGAGAGTGATAAGAAGGGCCCAAAGTGTACGGTCCGACATATTTCTACTAAGCCCCAAAATATGTGGATCTGGCCTCAAGAGAGAGTACGAGAGTGATAAGAAGGGAGAGAGACATGAGGGTTTAAAAAAATGCATTTTTTATTGAAGGAAAAACTCTTTTATTTGGTGGTCGGTACGAGATGTGGTTTAAAAAATAAGAAAAAAATACGTGTATCCGTTATATTTACCTTCAATTTTATGTTATTACACTTATATCCGTTTTTTGAACTTCATAACATTTTTTTTTAAAAAAATAGAACTACCCTTTTCAGTTTTTTAAAATTCAAAAATTTTAAAACATTAAAGTTTTCAAAACTAGCTTATTCGGTTTTCAAAAACCAAAAATTAGAGAAAATCGGTTTTTCAATAATCGAAAATGAGTTTCTTATTCAAAACCCAAGACAAAGTTGAGTTTCTTCTTGAATTCATTTTTCTCTCAAAATTTTCTCCCTCTAAAAGAATGCGTCGTCAGCTTTTGCCTATCATTTTGGGTCAGGGATTATGGCCTCTCTCTCATAATCAATCCCAGTAAAATAAAGTTGAGGCGTTTTTAGGAGTGTTAATCGTTTCTCTCTCATATATATTTTGTCACTATTAGTGTTTTTTCATATTTAAAGTGAAAGAATGTACATACTGCAAATCCCAATTATATTATATTTTAAATAGAATAATGCTTTTAAATATTGGGGCTTATATTATATTTTAGCAAAAGAATGTTTTCACGAACAAAACCTTCTAACTTTTCAAAAGATTTAAATAACATTCAACTTTCCATAAAATATCTTTCTAAAAATAACTTTGAAGTGAGTGCCAAATTTTAAGAGTAAAAAAATAATATTTTAAGTGGGTGAGTATATGCACAGTGTGCTCCCACCGGATAGAGTACGAGTAATGGGCTAATAGCATGCTTAATTAAGATAAAGTGGGGACTCTGTTAGTTCCCTCAGAGTGCACCAATCTACCGCGCAGATATGTAGAAGCTTCTGTCATGGCGACGGCACCATAACTTCTTAAACCCAGAAGAAACCCTGGACAACGAGTCTGACCCACCCTTCTCCCCAATCAAGTTGCATTCCCCCAAATCAAAGTCTGCACCAGAACACAAGAAGAAGAAGGAGAACAGTAAACTCATTGAACCCGCTGAGAAAGCGCAACTCCCAGTTCACTCTGACCTTTCATTTGATTTCCAGTACTCTTACTCAGAGACTAATCAAATGGTGAAACCTATCAGTTTCAGGGAGCCGAGGTTCTCTACTTTTGGTCCCGGGAGACTTGACCGGAAGTGGACTGGTTATTCGGCTCCTATGTGTGGTGAAGTAAAAATCCAAGTGGAGTTAAAAGATGCTCAGGGGAGTCCCCTTAGTGAAGAAGAGATCGAAGAGCTGGTCGAGAAGTATGGACATGACAATTGCAATAGCCAGATCAACCTTGGTAAGTCCGAATTGTCCCTCTCTTTCCCCATTAAATTTGGAATCTTCAATCTTTAATTGATTCATGTAATTTTTTGTTCTTTTTTCATAATGTATATGTTCTTGTGTGGCTTCATGTTCGTAAAATAAAGTTCGAGATTGTCATGGGAATAATGCCCCCCAATGCCATTGATCAGGAGCCTCTCCCATCAATTTTGAATTTCTTTGGCTGTTTGACCTAGAGTTTGAGCATGCGATGTATTTATATATAAATTTCACGTTAACGAATTCATTGGTTTCGATTTTCTGTAAGCTTGAAATAATTATGTTTCAAAATTGTGAAGAATTGGAGAGCAAGAACTCATGGACTCCGATTGTCAAATTTATGAAGTTGAAGGTGGATGGTACATACAAAAAAGTTAACTATGCTCACAGAGACAAGTGAAAAGAACAGGTCAAATATGAAAAGGTGAAGTCAGAAGGTTAACCTTACTCCATTCCTTTCTATTAGCCTTCATAGTGCCCAAATGAATAACAAGAAAAGTTCATAATGCAAGAGAATTTTTCCGACAAGAACATACAATTGGAGTCAATAAATGATTTGAAGATGGACCCGTATGATCCCCATAGTTTGTTTTTCTTAGATTTTATGATTGCCAATTTTTCACATTCTCTATGCTTGTCCCATATTTCGCTATCCTTTCTTCCCAACCCCCACCCCCCCAACCCCCCAAAAAAAAAGAACCAAAATTCCTTTTCCCCTTGGACCTTTGATAGTTGCAACAACATAGCTGAAAGGAGAGAGGAGACCTGTTGATAATATCTAGCACATTGTATCTCTGAATATTTAATACCAAACAAAGGTTAAACTGTTCTTCTCACAAAAACTTGTCCCAGAAATATGAATACTTAAAATGTTTCGTAGTAATTAACCTGCTAAAACTCGAAAAGGTTGGACATGAAGAAAAATATGCCTAAATTTTTTAGAACTTGTTTTGTAGTGGGTGATGGTATTGCATCTTCCAACATGAAAGCCAAAGCCGGGAAATGCAAGAGTAAAACTAGGACCACCCGAGCTAGGTTCCATGAAGTTAAACTTTGATGGCTGCTCCCTTGGCAACCCTGGCCCCATCTGGAATAGACGACCTTTTTCGCTCCAATGAGGGTCAGATCTTGCAAACCTTCTCCTGCCAACCCTTGCTGAAGCCAGAGCCTTACTGGAAGGCCTCCTAAGATTTGACAACTCTTGGGACCCCAAAGTGGAGGTGGAAGGGGATTCCAAGAACGTCATTTCATGCGCATCTGGTCTCTCTCCTTGCTCGTGGCGTTTAGACATCTTCGACGAGATATCCCATTTGTCTCGGGGCATCTCAATCTCATCACCTTTTTCGCAATCCAACTCCTAGGCCGATTGTCTTTCTAAAGAGGTAGCCTACTCTAACTCCCCCGTGGGACTTTAGTTTTTTGTAGACGTCCACCTGTACCCTTGGAGTAGATTTCCTCCTGTATATCATTTGTTTAACCCTTTGGGGCTGTAAAGGGTGCTCTTCCAAAGGGCCCCATTCGTTTGTACATTTTATTAAATATTAATACAACTATAGTCAACTTTCCTCAGAAAAAAAACTAGGACTTGATTAAAGACCATAATTTGCAGACAGTGTTCCAATTCAAACCATGAAATTTATGTAATCAACAATGCTAAGATGGGATAATTTGTACTTGTCAAAGCTAAGCTGGGTTTCTCATATATATCAACATGGAGATTTGCTCTGGATAAAGCTGAGATGGAATAATTAAAACTCAGAAAAGAAAAAAAATCTGAGATGGAATATTACTAAAAACAAGAAAGGAAGACTGACATTATATATTATTTATTTGGGAGGCCAAGATTTGTCCTCTCAAGTTTTCACTAGTTTTAATGACTTGAATGTCACCGATAGGTAATATGAAGACTTTTCTTTTTATCGTTTAACTCATGTTGCATATTGCAATTGGTGTTAGGTAAAGGGGGAGTAACACACAATATGCTAGATGACATCCATAACCATTGGAAGAGAGCTGAAGCTGTAAGAATCCAGTGTTTAGGAGTGCCCACCGTTGACATGGACAACATTATTTTTCAACTTGAGGTCCGATATTCACATATTCTTAGTAAGCATTAAAGTGAAGTGGCTATTTAACATATTAGATTTAGCTGGTCAGTCATTTTCGGCCAAGAGGAACCAAAGATATGTTTATTTGATTTATAATGTTGTCTGGTATATAGTCAACAGTTCCAAAAAAAAAAAAAAGTTGTCTGGTATATGCAAAGTCTTGTGAGTAGCTGGCAACCTGTGTGCTCATAAACTTAATCTCGGGCCATGTTTATTTATGTCTACAGTAATTTGCTCATTATTTTGCACTTCAGAAAGCTTTACTTTTGTTATAATGCTACATTCTTAACCTCCTTTGCTGTAATGATTTTTGAGACAAGTTTTCCTTTGATATAAGTATGACCAGATCTAGACAATCCATTAAAAAACGCATGTGATTTTCATGTGGTAATGAGTATATTGCTGGAGATGGATTCAGTTTCACCTGTGTGCTATTGTTGGATCCTCAGTCAGACCATCCAATTTCCTGACAATATTACCTTTATGCAGGACAAAACTGGTGGAAAAGTCATCTCCAGGAGAACGAATGTGCTTCTTCTATACAGAGGCCGGAACTATGATCCAAAGCAACGACCCCACATCCCTCTGATGTTGTGGAAGCCCCTTGCCCCTATTTATCCAAGGCTTGTGAAGAACATTGCTGATGGCCTTACATTTGAAGAAACTAAGGAAATGAGAAACAGGGGACTCAATAGTCCACCTATCATGAGACTCAGTAAGTAGTCCCGAATGGCTGCCTTGTGTTTTTGGAAAAGTATACCATATTCCGATGGAATATGGGAAATCATTGTCGGTTGGGGCCATTAGCATGGTGATAATAGAGGGTGGAAGGGTGCGAAGGATGGAGGGACCCACTGGAGCTAAACATGCCCCCCTGTAGTGGGTCATTCTTTCTCTTCTTCACTGTTTATAATGTTAATCGATGCATGATATGATGCATAACTTGGGATCTTCATCATTACGAGTAAATTCTTGATATGGTTGTATGGGTAGTGACAATGGTGCTAATGATGATGTCATGTGCAGCTAGGAATGGTGTGCATGTGAAGGTGTTGGAGAAAGTTAGGGAGGCTTTCAAATTGCAAGAAGTTGTGAGAATAGACTGCACTGAGTAGACACCAGTGACTGCAAGGAAATTGGAGTGAAGCTAAGGGTATGGCACTATTTTTCAGGACAATGGAAGGCAATTGGGATGCTGCAGCGTTATTCCGGGACTATATACAGCATTCAACTGTTCAGAAAGAATTGGTTTTAATTCTAGTGCATGTCTGGGTTGTTTTACACATACAGATTTATGCTTAATACTATTTCCTTGGTGGGCAACAACTTAATTAGTTTGACTTGATAGTTACATATTCTCTTCACTTTTCTTATCAGAAACTGCCATAGTTTTCATCAAAAATCTCGAACTTGGAGGTCAACTCGGTCACTGCGAAAGCCATGTCAACTTGCTGGTTAAACAGTTTACTGGTAAAAATTCTCCAACTTTGTTGAATTTAAAAATAAAAATAAAATAAAATGTATTTGTTATGGGAATCAAAGCCAACTTGTCAGTAAATGGAAACCAAAATCCTACCACCTTAACGCTTTCTTGTTCAAAGCAACACAAAAAAATATGTATAATAAAAACTGGGTTGCATTCAAAATTTTCACCTATGAAACAAACCAATTGAGTAGTGACTGTGACTTTGTTAGATTTTCTGAGTTGAAAACAAGTTCATAGTCACTGTCTGTATCCATATGCAAAATTCAGTTACTCTGTGGCACATGTTTTTTCTTTAGGAAGTAACGTGTGTAAAAACTAAACCTTTTGCATGTTGTTTTATATGTTTATTGTTACTCTTTTCGAAGATTTGATAAGCTAGCAGTTCAAACCATAGCACTCTCACGGTTGAGTTGAAGATTTCCATGAAACAGCAACTCATTCGTGTAACCCGTGTTGTGTTGCTTTGATTTTGTTTTAGAATTTGTTTTCTCTAGTAATATTATTGTCGCTTTTTCTAGTTGAAAATTAAATAATATTTCTGAAGTCAAATACTACAATGAAGTATAAACCATGTCATTCTGATCTATGTATTCTCGTCTCTCCTTTCAACTTATTCAGTTTAGTAGTAAAAGCATCGCTTGTAGCCCTAGGAGAAAAGAGAATCGTCATGGATGCTAAACATTCTTTTGTCTTTTGCTTTTGATGCAGGATTTGGTTCCTTGTGTGCCTCTCTTATCAAGAATGGTCAGATTGTGCTTTGGAGGGGGAGAAAGGATGAGAACTCCAACACAGTGAATCAGAAGTCAGACACGTGAGATTCCTTTGCCCCAATTTGTAAGCTGCCCAAAATGCTTACCATTGCTGAGCAAATGCTCTTTGGCTGTTCTTTCTAGTCTGACATTGTCTTTTGCTGAGATTCATTAAAATTTCCCATCTCAAATGCTTCCATTCCCATGTATTGGGACTGATTGCTGGGAAGCGCTTCTACTGAAGCTGAATTTGCAGATATGGTAAACAGTTGTTTACAGAAAGCCCAGGTGTCAATTGGCATATCAGTTAAGCTAAGCTGAGAGAGAGAGAGAGAGAGATGCATATTGGATCTGCAGTTCGATATGCAATATTATTGGTTTAATGGAGAGAGAGAGAGAGAGAGAGAGAGAGAGAGAAACAGAGAGTGGGTGGGACTGCTTAATGGGTACCAGAGCTGCAGAGAGTGGATATGGTTTTTCTATCAAACTGATCTCTAGAAAGAGAATTATTTTCTCAAGTTTCCTGCCAATCATTGCACCGGGTTAAGAAACTGAGTGCACTTGTTTGGTTTTGGTAGAATAGTGTCTTTGTGGCTTCAGGTCAATTGGTGCAACATGCATATTGTACAAGGGATTTCAGCATGCAGAGCAGATGATTAGCTGCTGATTTCAAGTGATGTTTTCAGTAAAACTGTTCTATGTGATCAGAAAAGTACGAAGAATGTTTGTATTTTTTCCCTTTCCCCCTCAACAATGATACTTCTCAGTCTTTCAGCCCTCAGGAAAGTATACATTTTCTCAACAATGGATCTGTTAACCAATCAAAGAAAAAACAGTATGAGATTTCTCTAGCAATGTTTTCGGGAAATTTACGTCCATATTCTCTCTGTTTCTTATTTTTCCATAATTGTTCATATTTTAAGACGAGGCAAAGCTGCTTATGAAATCATCCATAATTGTATAATATATACCCAGAAATCTAGGCAAATGTACCAATAATTTGGTAGGGAATGCATTTCTTCTTAGTTCGTCAAAATGAAGTTTACAGGATATAAGTCCCCCACAATTTTCACTGTAATTAAAACTCCATTAAAGTTGAGTAGACCGGTGGCATTGGAAAACTGTTCGCTGTTCATGGAATAGAACATTCGTGGAGAAAATACTGAAACTTTTGAAGTCATAAATTGGTTTCAAACTCTTTTTACTGTCCAAGGCTAGAGATTATTCACCGTAAAGATTTGTACGAACTTCAAATGTCAGAAAGTCACAATGCCGTCCTCATGCAGTGTTGTGTATTGAGAGGGCTATGCATCTCATGTGATGTGATCTCTCTCTAGGATCTCTCTCTACAACATTGCATTTGTAGCAGAGTCTAATAATAGGGGAAATTATCATATTACTTTTCACTTTTCAACAATTTAACAGTTAGACAATTTTTCCTACTCATATTCATGTGTATTTTGATGGTTATTTTGCAATCAAATTAGAAGATATGGATAAAATGTTAAATGTTTATGTCATGGGTGTATTTTGGTAAATTTGCTCTTATAATATTGTTAAAAATGCCAAGTCTCTATTGTTGGAAAAAGGAAGGAGATGGATTCGCTTAAAATCCCAGGTATTGATGGGCAGCATTCGTCCGACTTCCATGGTCATGAAACTTTTATTTGTAGAGGGGTGGGAGTACGGCGTTTTGTAACATACGACTTTTTTTCTCGACTTCTCTGAGAATTGGCTTTCAATATCGGGGAGATAGAAGAGTTATCCACTATTTGTTAAAAAAATGTTTTTTTTCTCAAAAAATTTTTTAAAGACAGATAATAATTAATATATAATATTTTTTAAAAAATATTAATTAGATACAAAAAAAAATACAAAAAAACCCTTAAAATATACTTTTTATGCAACTTAACCCAGCTCACTTTCTCTCATTTTTTTCAAAAAAAAACGAATTTTTTATGCAAATACCCTCAAGGAAAAAAAATTATTTTTTTAGACGAAAATGCCTTTCCCGTAGCACATTGCTGAAGCTCACTTAAATAGTGCTGGAGCCATGTGACTCATAATGTTACACTGCCGAAGCGCACTTACACAGTGCTGGAGCGTTGTGTTACACTGTCGAAGCACACTTACGTATTACCAGAGCGTTGTATTACACTGCCGTAGCGCACTTACGAAATGTCGGAGCGTTGTGCCCTTCCTGTAGCACATTGGCGGGGCGCACCTAAATAGTGCCGGAACCTTGTGACTCATAATGCTCTACTGCCAGAGCGTACTTACGCAGTGCCAGAGTGTACTTACACAGTGTCGAAGAGAGGCGTGGGTAATGGGTAAAGTAAGAGTAATTTTGCCTTTTTAAAATTTTTGAGATGGTTGGGGGGTATTTGCATAAAAAGTTTGTTTTTTTGGAAAAAAATGAGAGAGAAAGTTAGCTGGGGGGTAGGTTGCATAAAAAATATATTTTGAGGGGTTTTTTGTAATTTTCGCTTAAAAAACATGTGACTTATGTGAGGTCCCATGGCCACATACACATACCAACATCTCCCACTTAGCCATGAGGCTGAATATATTGATATATCATAAAATTTGTACCACTCAATGGGTTTAACCTTTATGAGCATAAACTTATCATGAGGCTTTCACGCTAGTATAATTGTTTTGATTATTGTTAGTTTTTTTGAGAATTTGAGAAGAGGAACTTTGAGCAAAGTAGAGTTCATATGACTTCTTCATCATTCTTCTCTTAGCTTCAACACTGAAGTGTATAGGAAGATTCAACATAGTTTGGTTCAATGCGATTACAACAGGCTCCCAAGATGGAAGGAGACTAACAAGGGCAATGGATACTAGCATGCGGTTATGAACTGAATTATTGGCTGCAATAAGGTCTTTTACGAGCACTGTCATTTTGTTGGTAGATGTTGGACCTTGAAGCACATTTTGTTTATCATTTTGTATTTCATACTTAGAAATAAACCCATTTGTCGATCATTTTATATTTCATACTTAGATATGAACCCATTCTTTCAGTTCTTGGGGTGGCAATACGTTGGGATTGGGATAGACCAGCCCCAAACCGGACCTAGTCCCTACATGGCTGGCCCCACCCCTATGGCCCCTGCCAAGCTGGAGAGGCCTTGGTCCAAGCCCAAACATGGCCCTATCAAGGTTGGACCAAGCCAGGACATGCCAAATACAATTAGGGCCCATTTGCAATAGAGGAAATCAGGACTTTTGGATATTTGAAATCAAAGAAAATCTATGGATTTGCCATATCAAGAATTCTTGTCATGGATTTCTCAAAGAAAATCCATTGATTCCTTACAATCATTTCCATGTCCATTATTATGATAACGAAATTTAATAAAGTTTCTCTCTAAAGTTTTAATATACTTTCTCTCTCTAAACTAAAATTGCAATAGCCTCTCTCTAAAAATTTTGAGATGGCTTCTCTCTAAAATTTGATATGATTTCTCTCTATAAAATTTTAATGTACTTTATCTCCAAAACTTAAAATTTGAAGTTGTTTCTCTCTCTAAAAATTTGAGATAGTTTCTCTCTCTAACAATTCCAGGTGCTTTCTCTCTCTAAAACTTATTATAGTTTCTCTCTAAAATTGTAAGATATTTTCTCTATTTAAAACTTAAAATTTGAAATAGTTTTCTCTCTAATAATTTTTAGATAGTTTTTCTCTAAAATATTTAGGTAGTTTCTCTCCCTAAAATTTGAAATTGTTTTTCTATCTAAAATTTTAAGATACTTTCTATATCGAAACTTAAAATTTGAGATAATATCTCTCTAAAAGTTTTTAGATAGTTTCTCTCTAAAATATTTAGTTATTTTCTCTATCTAAAATTTCATATAATTACTTCTTAAAACTTTAATATGCTTTGTCTCTCTATAACTTAAAACTTGATATATTTTCTCCCTCTAAAATATTGAGATAATTTCTCTCTTTAAAATTTGATATAGTTTCTCTTTCTAAAATTTGTAATATACTTTCTCTTTTTAAATTTTTTAATATATTTTTCTATCAAAAATTTAAAATTTGAAATAGTTTCTCTCTCTAAAAACTTGAGATATTTTTTAATATAGTTTTATTTGACTAGGTTTGTTGAGGGTTAAAGAGGGCAACTCTAGATCCCAAAATCCATCATGTAACTTTTATTTGTATGGTAGATTTCAGTTTGCTATACCCATAGATATAACCCTCTTGGGGTAAACCATGTAAATCTTTATATTTATGGAGCGTATATGTTTCATGCTTTATTTCTCGTATTATGGTTTATATTATGTCTATTTTGTTTTTAATTAACTGGATAAGTACATGATCTTGATATAATCCAACTTGTGGGATTCCTGATTCCACATTAAGAGGGTTATTAAATCCTATCAAAATCTACATGCCTTGGAAAAAAAAAATGGTTTTTGTACGGAAATAAAATCTTGAAAAAATTGAGTGATTTTCTACGGGGACAAGGGCCAGGGCCGGACCGGCCCCTTGCCACCCCTGCTGCGTGATTCTCAAGCAGAAGGTTTATTTAAAGGCAAAGCGAAAGTTTATGCTTCCTGTTAAGAGGAAAGCCAGAGCTTACGCTTTATTTGATGGGAAATTAAAGTTTATTCGAGTTTGTCGAAGAGATATGGAGCCTTGTCTAGTTCTATGCTCTACTTGTACTGTATGTCTACTCGCTCCGGTAAAACCCAATTTAAGAAAGGGATTGGGGTCGTGGTGATAGTACCTCGACCCTTTAAGAAAGGGATTGGGGTCGTGGTGATAGTACCTTGACCCCTTAGTCTATATATTTGCACTATTTTCAGAGCTTCAAAAGCACAAAAAAAAAAAAAGATTTGCAAGCCATCACAATAAACTTTTTTTGTTTTTAAAATATATGTTGCCACTTACACCATATTTGTCGTGGCTCATTATTTGACTTATGCCCCTAAATATTGGTTGGCTACTTATAAAAGTGAAGGAAGAACCTCCGAAGAATAGGAGCGCCGTCGTGTGCTCTTGTAGGAGCACACTGTACAACACTCAAAGGTAAATGACCACTTGTTTTTTTATTTTTAAGGGTGTGGTTTGTATAAAGTTGGGGCTCTAAACAATCAAAGTCGGGCATACCTTCAAAGAGTATCGAAAGATGATTCAATACCTGAAATATTTGTTATGGCCTGAAAATTTAATTTCATCTCTAATTATAAAATTTAAAGCTTCAAAAATAGTGCAGATCGAGCAGATCAATGAACACTTGAAATTCTTGAAAATTGACGGTCTGAAAATGCATTACAACATGCACTATTTCTAAGACTTGAAATCCATATTTCCTCTTGTCCATGCATCTTGAAGTCGAGATGATCAATTTAAGGATTTTTTAACATTGAAACAAATTCTTCTAGTGAAATTTTTAAGGTACACCTAGATTTGATTGTTTAGAGCATTGGCCTTATATAAACTTTTCTCTATTTTTAATCTAAAATTTTGGAAGGCAATTTAGAATCACGAAATTAGCAATTTCAAAAACAAAATAGCTGAGCTCGAAAATACTGAGATCTGATAGTCCAAAAAAGTTGGCTTGTCTATATGCATTTTAAGACAATGCTTTTAAGGATTGTCTACAATATCAAGTTGAATAGCTTCAAGTGAGTCACGGAGTCCAAGAATTATTATTTTTAGAACTTTGTATATATTCAATGACATTCTTACAACCACCCATTTTGAAATGAGATTGTATACAATGAAACCATTTACCTTTGATACAAGGTGGTCACAATTTCGTACAACTATTTGATATAAAATTTGATAGCTTGGATGTGTGATAAGGTTCGAGAAAATTTAGTTTGAAATTTGAGCTTGGTCAATGGAATAATTGCAGTCACTCAATTGCACATCCAATGGTCATGAGTAATATGACCACCTTGTATCAAAGATAAATGGTTCTCATTTTATACTTTCCCTTTTGAAATATAAGAGACAAGAATGATTGTGACCTCTATGTACAAAAGATAAATGGTTTCCCTTGTAGACAATCCCATCATTTTTGGCATATATAATTATTTTCGTTTTTTTTTTTTTCGTTTTCTTAATTTTTTTGAAGTTGATACCTAGGTTGATAGGTCTTATACCTGAGATTTTGGGTATGAAAATTAAGTCTTTTTTACCAAAGGGAGTGAACATACAATATGCTGCTTAGGACCATATAAACTTTTGGCTAAAAAAGAAAAAGTAACTGGGAAATCATCTTTTTGGCTCCCTTATCTTCTCACTAAGACCATCTTCCCTTTGTGCTTCTTCACCATTGAGAGGCTTTTCGCTTGAGTACCTCATCCTTCAATTTCCCTCCTTCCCTCCGACCTTCTCTCCTTCCCAATTCAATAAACATATATGCTTTGTTATGAGATCTTGTCCTCTCTCTCCTTCTAAATAATCCAAACCTTATTGCATTTGTTTCTGTGGAGCTCTTTTTGCTGGTTCCTATCATCAGTTTCACTAAATATCTCCACCAATTGTCCTTCTCTATCAGCCTCATCTACCCATTTATTCTCTTCACTTTTTCAGTCTAGTAATTTACCAAAAACATTTCGTCTACCCACCCTTTCCTGTCCCCCCCTCCCTCCCCCCCCTCTTTTCCTTGTTCCAATTTGCCTTCTCTCCTCTCCTCTCTCTCTCCTCTCTGTCT